TGTCTGTCTTGTTAGGCAAAGAGGATTTAGTGTGGTCCAGTTGTGGGGGTTGTTTGTCCATTTTGTCTGTAAGTGTATTAGTCTTTCCGAAATTTTTGTCATGTTTGTGCGTTCGTATAGTAGTTGGTTGGAAGGGTTGTGCAGTGGGTTTTGGGGGTGTTTTATAAACAATGGACTTAAGATGTCCTCAAAGAAAGAAGCCTAAGGGTGTTCAATCCGGTGATTTTGGAGGTCATTAAATTGGTCCCTTTCTGCCAATCGATCTATCCAGGAATATTTTATGAATGTTAGGGAGGGTTCGGAAATAGACTTTATTACTGTTTACAGCAAAATAGACAACATTTTTAACAACTTATAAGATAGTGCGTAAGTAGATCCCATGGGTTTTATTGTAGAAATTTCCCGTCCGTAAATAAAAAGTAATTTTTCTCGAAGTAAAATAATCAATAAATCCGCAGTCAATTGTTTAAACTCGATTTTCCCCCTGTTATTCAACGATTTTAACAGTGTAACCGAATCTTCGAATCATTTGTACTATAAGGAGACCCTATGACATAATTTTTGTTTAAACTCTAATCTGAAAGCCAAAATCTCATTGCAGGCAATTTTAATTGTTTCTCTAATTTTGAAACGAGATTACTCTAAAACTTCTGAATAATGAGCAACAAAGTAGTACCTAATGTAAAGAGAATTGAACTCCCTTTAAAACGATGTGCCACTTTGAGATTCTAAGGGTGACATCTACCAGTCTTAAGGGGTTGAAACAAGGAGGCTGAAAATGTTAATTTAAAGTGTCCACCTTACAAATAAAATTGACGGGTTTTTTCCGATTTCTTCATATTTTCAACTGCAAAAAAGCTACTAAGGGTGGGAACTTTTCAAATTGACACCCGGTATTTTTTAAACACTGCGGTATATCTGGAACCTAACAACAGGGCAATAAGCATTGGTTATGGCTTATCATTTTCCTTTTTATGTTCGCCTTGAAACAAATCAATGGTTTCATTTTATTTTAGCTTTTTTAAAATCAGTTATTGATTTATGCAATCATTTTCCTTGAATTCTTCTATATTTAGAGGTATGAACTAAGCTCTCATCTGACTCACAGTCCTTGCATCAATGTACGAAATTGTAAGTTCCATTATTTTATCGCTTATTATATTGGACAACCCAGTGTAATGAGAGAGCTTTTAGCTAATTAGTATTCATCCGAATTCCATTGTATTCCTTCCAGAAGCATTAATCATTCCCTAATAAGAATATCCCATTCACCAGTCATCTGAAGTTAAATTAAACACATGTAATATTTTAACTAGGGAAAGTTTGTTACCTGTCCAGAATAATCGAGGGATTCGCATCAGCCCTTCTTAGGGCATGTTTGCCCTTTACACTAGAGCACTGTTGTTAGAAGTGAGATATCTTCTCGGGTTTCCTGCTTTAAATGGGATTTAGTCATTTAGTTGATTCGCTCCGAGATAGAACAAAGGAAATTTAGGTAGGCAATCCGAATTGCTTCCCACAGCTCCTTATCATCGCGTGTTAAAACGTTGTTTATGCCCTTTTGGAAAATTAGGTTGCAGTAGTACTTTATTATTCTATTTCCACTATTTTCGATGGATTGGTCTGCATTAAATCACCTTCGTGATGCACGAATTGAAATCGCGTATGAATCCTGGAACCATTGAACTTAGTCGATTAAAGTGCAAAATTGCATTAACACAGACGCATTCCTGTCAGTTTTTATTATTATTAAAATTAACGTTTGATTAGCAAAATCCAACATGTTAAATAACTATCATAAACGTATTTTCTCATGTAATCAAAGAAAACTTTTGCCATACCCTATCCACTTATA